CCTAAACCACCTGATGACGTCACGGCACAGCTGTTCCGCTTTATACCCCCAGCAGCGTTGTGTGTGACCTATCTAATAATCAAAAAACGGAACAGCTGTTCCGCTTTATACCCCCAGCAGCGTTGTGCTCCGATGACTTATTTCCTTGGGAAAGTCCCTATTTGATAGTGGCCATATGCATAACTATGAATGCCGTCCTCGAGAATGAATCGCTTGTCATCAAAACATGAGAGCGATATCTTATTCAGCTGATAGCTAGCAATCTGATGATGGTCACTCCTAATTGTGCGCATACTATGCAACATTTGTTTCCCATTCAATAAGCAATCTTTATAATTGTCATGTGTGATATTCTTTTTGATAACATATTTTGACTCCCTTGGCTGTCTTCTCATTTTTACCATTATCTTTCACATAAGAATACATTTTACTTCGAAGACCAATAAATTCTCTGATTGGCATGCCAGCTGCTTCATCTTTAAATTTGCCGATAACTTTCTTATTCTCCGCACTAAAGTATGGACTATCCTTGGGGTAATCACTATTGTCAAATAATTGTTTGTCCTCCCAAAGTTCCTTACAAACATCCCTTGTCTTAATCTCATAACAAAGACTGTCTGTATCAGTGAATAATAGTTTAGCCTTATTATTGTACCTACTTTTGATATAATTATAGTGAAAGTCATACATGAGAGTTTTTGATAAATCCAAAATGCACATACCCACGTAAGCTGGCCGGTCGAGTGTTAGTGTTTCTTTGATCTTATGAACCGCCACAAGGTCCTCACTAAAGATCTTACTATTAAGAAACGTCGGCTTACTCACAAGTTTAGACAACTTCTTTTGATCAGTCACTAATCTCACGTCAACACGCTTTCTTATGTTTTCCATTGTTTTTCCGAATACGGAATTATTTAATAGTTTAAAAAAGTCCTTCTCAAATGCATTCCTAGCATTCATCCTCTTTTGGGTGTTAAAATTAATGTAATGTGCGAACCAGGGAGACTGGTCAAATTCTAATACCCTGTGTACTTTCTTCAATTTAAGACCAAGAGATAAATAGAGTTGCAAATTTCTGTAGTGTAACACATAATTCTTTTTACTGGCTAGTGATGGAATTAGCTTAGCAACCTGGCCAATACTTATTCCAAACTGCTCCTGAATATTTTTGCAATAAGGAGAAAGCATTTCTTTGGTAACTTTCATTTTCTCCACAGCTAGAGGATAATCATTATGCAACTCATGTAATTCTTTAGGATATTCCAAATCAACTTCCAAAATCATGCCCTTTTTTTCTGTCTTCTGTACAAGTAGCCAGATTAACTTTTTGTATTTATTTTTCAGTCATCCACCTAAAACCACCTGTTGGTAAATATTGAGACATCGCACATCCATAAAGATTATTAGCGTCCAGATACAAAATATACTTACTTGGTTTCTCTGAATTATACCCGCTCATATATTTATTATTAGCTTCCCCGTGTCGGTTGCCAATATAAGAAATACCACCACGCAATCCCTTTTCTATAAACTGAAACATATCAATATCTGTCATAAGCTCCAGTTTTATACCAGTCATTTTCAACGTAGCGTCCCAGGATAGGCCAGGAGATGTGAAATAGTGGCAAGGATCTAGTTATAATACTGATGGCAAGTCTTACGAAAGTTCTCAAAAACATCAGCTAATAAGAGAATATCAGATTTCAGATACAGATCATGATACTCACCCATTGTTCTCATATTAAAAGTATGCCAGACTTTTTGAGCATGTTGATATTCCTCATCAGAGATACTCTCATCTGTCAGTATACTATAGAATTCCTCTTTTGGAGGTAGTTGCTGATCACCAAACTTCTGAAAACTATCCATGTAATCATAAGGATACACTCCTTTCTGTTTCATCGCGATAGTTTCTCATTTTGAAACACTTGGCCGGTATACTTAAACATATCGGTGGGTAAATTAGCAGCCAATCTCTCCAAGCTGCTGGCCATAAATTGAAAACTATCCAGAAATACTAAGTGTTTACCCAGCATAAATGCCATATACTTTTCCATATTATTAGGGATGCAATTAATACTCAAATTATTACTTTTTCCGATTGATCCAATTTCTTGCATTATAAAATGGGAATCATACCCGCGCAGATTATGAAAAATGACGGGTACCCTAAATTTATTTGGGTCAATTCTCAGCTTCAGATTACAGTCTTGGTGTGCTGATCCCCTATACTTACCGGTAATGTGGCAATGATCCCTAACTTTTACTTCAGTATCTAAATATTTCCCCCCACAAATATGACATTCCTCGGCAGCCTTGAATAATTTTTCCTCCTCAGCCGTCATCTGAAGCGGTTTTTGGAACTCAGTAGCAATCATCTTCTGGCAATATTCTACTTCCGAGAGCATATCTAACATGAAGTAGTTAATAGAATTCTCCCCTCGATAAATTTTCACTGGTTTTGAATATTTGTCATCATAACAACATACCAATTTGTAACCACAACTACAGCCAGTGTGCTTTTGGTACCTATCAGTATAAGATTGAGAGTCATCAGGTTGGCACCCATATACTTTTTCTGTAATAGCTTCGAAATCGGCGTATATCACAAAAGGCGCTGGCATCTGTTTATGATAGTTCTGAAATTGGACCATACTGCCCTCCTCAGGCATCCTTATTGCTTGTTCCCCATTTATTACAATGCAATTACTCTTATGTTTTGTTAGTATCTCATCAGTGCTAAAACACTGGAGACAAAACATACAAAAATGCTTTCGCTCCTTGTGTTTGGTCTTATTATACATCATCTTATTAAAATCCTTGACTAGGACATAATGTTGCTTCGTTCCCTGTGTAATCAGCAGCAAGTTCAACACTTTCTCGTTTTTCTGCTTAGAAACATAAAGAGGATAAAATTGCTCGTTCTCATAACCAAACACATTAATATTAATGCTATTTTGCTCTTCTATTTTACCATAATGTTTAGTAGCGACAGGAAATTCCACTCCTTGGTAATTTAATTCCTCCACCATTCTTCTGTCCGCCTTTTTAATCCTCTGGGGATGATCATTTTGTGGATTCAAGTATCGGAAATGACACCAGCGGGACATTCATCATCCTTATTTTGTAGATTAATTAGCCCCTTAGCAGAGTTTTGCAATTTTACCGGTAGAGGAATATAAGAATTACCTCTCATTGGCTCATACACTACTATATTTATGTAATGTTCATTGATACTACTAACAGTCCAGCCACTACCCTCAGATAGCCAGACACCAATCCTGTTCAATATTTGTTGCTGTGNGGTTGGCACCCATATACTTTTTCTGTAATAGCTTCGAAATCGGCGTATATCACAAAAGGCGCTGGCATCTGTTTATGATAGTTCTGAAATTGGACCATACTGCCCTCCTCAGGCATCCTTATTGCTTGTTCCCCATTTATTACAATGCAATTACTCTTATGTTTTGTTAGTATCTCATCAGTGCTAAAACACTGGAGACAAAACATACAAAAATGCTTTCGCTCCTTGTGTTTGGTCTTATTATACATCATCTTATTAAAATCCTTGACTAGGACATAATGTTGCTTCGTTCCCTGTGTAATCAGCAGCAAGTTCAACACTTTCTCGTTTTTCTGCTTAGAAACATAAAGAGGATAAAATTGCTCGTTCTCATAACCAAACACATTAATATTAATGCTATTTTGCTCTTCTATTTTACCATAATGTTTAGTAGCGACAGGAAATTCCACTCCTTGGTAATTTAATTCCTCCACCATTCTTCTGTCCGCCTTTTTAATCCTCTGGGGATGATCATTTTGTGGATTCAAGTATCGGAAATGACACCAGCGGGACATTCATCATCCTTATTTTGTAGATTAATTAGCCCCTTAGCAGAGTTTTGCAATTTTACCGGTAGAGGAATATAAGAATTACCTCTCATTGGCTCATACACTACTATATTTATGTAATGTTCATTGATACTACTAACAGTCCAGCCACTACCCTCAGATAGCCAGACACCAATCCTGTTCAATATTTGTTGCTGTGATAATTGTAAACTTGGTAAAAAAATCATTAGGATTAATTACTATTTGTGCTCGACTATTGAAATAAGCTGGCTTATAAATATTATCATCATCCTTTCTCTTCACAAATGTTACTTTTAATGTCTCCACAAACTTGTTACCTTTTGTGTTATTGAGTATATTATTAAATAATCTACTTATTGCCAGTCTTGTATTTTGGAGCTGCACTAAAGCAACTCTACCATTCTTTAAACTGATGTCATATGATTTCGTAAAGCCCTTGAGAGCCTTTTGTTTTTCATCAATTTTTGTCCTCGGTGCTGCTACTGGTTGCTGTTTCTTTGTTCTAGGAGCTGGAATAGGACGTCTCCCCCATGTCATTGTATTTTTATGTAACCCATTAATAGGGACTTGTCTATCGGACAATTCCTCAAAGTATTTAATTTTGTCCTTGACCATTGCATTTGCTGCTAGTGTCTTTAATGTTGGCATTCTATTGCTCTGTTTTGGTAATACGGCTGGTCGTTTTATTGATTGTTCCAATTTTTCAGCCGCTAGTTGTGTAAGCGATTTTGGTTTGAAGACTGGTCCTGCCTGATTGGCGCTTGCAGTCTGATTAACTGGTCCTGCCTGATTGGTGCTCGCAGTTTGTTTTTCCAAAAGCATATTTATTAATTCGTCCTTAGACATTTTCGATAAATCTTTCCTATTATACATACTAATAGGTTGGATAAAATTAACTGAACTCTGACTTTGACTTTGACTTTGACTCATTATACTATATTATATCGGCATTTCTTTAAGTACCTTGCGTTTTGTCCAATTAATTAGCAAAAAATAACCAGTCCAAACCGGTGCCAAAAATGCTGACATCAGCAAAAATCCCGAAATATGGAAAGTGGTCTGGTACCCCCATATACTACACTACTGCCCTGGGCCGAGGAATCCGAGCGGAGTTTAACCATCTGAGAAATCTTGTTAACCGAGAACGTAAAAAATCCGTGCGGAGTATTACGAGAGTAAAGTGCAACACCTAAAGGGGTGTTCCCCAGCTAGGTGGTGGGGAAAAATCAAGAGACTCAGTGGAATGGGAGGGCCCCTTGGGTCACGTGATAATGTGTTAAAGTCCATTCATCACTTAGAAGGTGCTCGTGGTCTATCAGCAAACGATCTTGCGAACCACATCAACACAGCTCTCTCAGCCCCAGTGGAGGATTTCGAACCGCTCACCCACAATCCATTTAGGGGGATGTTTGTATGTCTTCGAGCAGAACTGTGACTGGTGATTTCTCACGGGTATCAGAGTTATCTGTCCTTAGAAAATTAGGCCCTATTTATCCAGCCAAGACACAAGGACCGGACAGTATACCCGGATGGCTCTTAAAGGAGAACGCGGAACTTTTGGCCTCACCCATCATGGATATCATGAATACCTCCTTTCGCGAAGGCCGGCTGCCCTTATCTTGGAAAGAGGCGGATATTGTCCCTGGCCCCAAACAAAGACCTATCCAAGACGTCAACAAGCATCTTCGCCCCATTTCCCTTACGCCTATCTTGTCCAAGATCGCAGAGGATTATTTTGTTCATGACTTTGTGATGCCCGCCGTACTAAAGAAAATCGACAAAAAGCAATATGGGACAATACCTAAATCGTGCACTACGCACGCACTTGTTAGCATGATCCACAACTGGCACGTCAGTTCTGATGGGAGCGCGGCCGCGATTAGATTAGTTTTATTTGATTTCTGTAAAGCGTTCGATCTCACTGATCACAATATCTTAGTGCACAAACTCTCAGATTACGATATTCCGAACCTCATCTTAAGCTGGATTGCTGACTTTCTATTGGATAGGAGACAGAGAGTTAAACTGGCCCAGGATTGCTTCTCCGAGTGGCGTTACATCCCAGCCAGTGTTCCTCAGGGGACAAAGCTAGGGCCTTGGCTCTTCTTAATAATGATTGATGATTTGAATACAGGAGAGGCAGATATGTGGAAATATGTGGATGATACCAAAATCTCTGAGGTGGTAGATAACGGCCAAGAGAGTTGTATTCAGCAAATTGTAGACGATCTCGAAATACAAGCAAGGGATGACGGATTCGCAGGGAACGAACCAGAATTTGACCCTATCTGGTTAACCGTCAGACCCTAGTGACTGTGAACAGTGTGAAATTGTTAGGACTTAATATTAGCAGTGATTTAAAGTGGAATGTCCATGTGTCAGAACTAGTTAGAAAGGTCTCAACAATATTATATTTTCTAAGACAGCTTAAGAAATAGCATGTTGCTACAAGAGAGCTTCTTCTATTTTACATCACATGCATTCGCTCCATTCTGGAGTACGGCAGCCGAGTTTTTCATCGCGCTCTACTAAGTTATGTAAGCGAAGACCTAGAAAGACTGCAAAAACGCGCTATGAAGAATTAATTACCCTGGGTTGTCATATGCTAAGGCTCTAGAGCTGTTCGGACTTTAAACACTGTATGATAGAAGAGAGGCAATTGCGTCAAAGTTATTCTATGAAATATGTGCTAATCAATCTCACAGTCTCCACAAACTACTTCCAAGTAAATACCAGCCAAGTTACTCTCTGAGAGAACAAAGAACATTTATTCGTCCAAAGTGTAAAACTGAAAGATGCAAGAATAGTTTTCTTTTAAGGCATGTTAACAGTAGTTGAGAACTAGATATAATTTTGTTTCTTATTGTGTATAGGAACTTGACGCATGCTTTTGAATTTGCGATTTTAAAACCGTTTTAAAAACGTGAATTATCTTGGATCATCTTTCTTTTGTTAGTTGTAAAGTCCTTTAATTAGTTGTAATTTAGTACAGTTATAAACTATTGCATTTGTAAACCTTATCGCAATTCAGCTCTTGGCTGCAAGTTTTTAAGGTGAATAAACTATCTATCTATCTATCTATCTATCTATCTATCTATCGATCGATCGATCGATCTATCTATCTATCTATCTATCTATCTATCTATCTATCGATCTATCTATCTATCTATCTATCTATCTATCAATATCAACGTCTTTTTGCTTGTGTATATGCAGAATTTCAAGAAATATCAATCTCTCGTCTGTTATGGTGCTTCGTGTAGGAGTTTTCTGTCTCCATACTGCTCAGCTTCTCTCGACACATGCCTCAACCTAAATTAAACGCTAACAGAAACACACCGATATAATGCGAAGCATTCATCAGTCATTCCGATTTAACGATGCCTTCAGGAAAGACAACAACAAAAAATATATTACTTTCCTAGACTTTATCTGCACGCACGGGTGAAATTGCGTTTATGGTCGCTACGCTCCTGCTCTGTACATTGTAGGCATAAGGGTGACCCGTGTAGAAGGCCTAAATGTAATAATGTCCAAAAAGTAATAACAGTTTGTCCTAAATGTAATAAATTGATAAGTTGCCAATTACAGTAATTACTCGAATAAGCGCCGTATTTGGGAGTGAAAAGTTTAATAAGCGCCCTGGCGCTCATTCGCGTATATTAGGTAGTAAGTGATACTGCTACATGTATGATATAAAAGCACCGTCCTCAAATAAGCGCCGCATTTTTGGTGAACAAAGTTAATAAGCGCCGCGGCGCTAATTCCCATAAACCCGGTACATTTCCTTATGCTCTGTGGAATTTAACGTTTACAAATAGTTTACTGGTAAACGGCAAATAATAATAATAATAATAATAAAAATAATAAAACCTGTAAGCCTTAAGACGTCTTTCACAGTTCATTTTTGTTAAAGAAATTTACTGCAAAAACCGTGGACGAAGATTCTGCTGCTTGTCGACGTTCTACCTCCAGAAAAGAGGTCTAATCAGCTAAAATATTAAGAACAAAAAAGGAGAAGTCCAAAGACTACTGCACGGCTGATGACAACGTTTCTAAAATAACTAAGATAGTAAGCGCGCTCTGATAGGCCGAGAGGTTAGCCTGTTTAAAGCGTTCAGATAGTAGAGCGCGGGAGAAAAATTCACAAAGAAAAATA